GGTATAATCTTCGCGATGAATTGATACAGTTCCTGATATATATGGTCTTTTTCTAATTCGAAAACCATTTATCAGAAGCCGTTTTTCGACCGGAGCTCGTGATGAATCCCATCAATGACTGGATGGACGAAGCATATCACAAGGCAATTTTTTTTTTCCTCGTTTATTAAAAAAACCGACTTGCCCTTAGAATTCCCATTTGACTTCACTAACTACGATAATTTCTTCCTCTTAACAGATTCTGCAGATGAAGAATATGTTTTTGGCCGATGTTCTTGAACTGTATAAAAGATCACAGAATGCGAAAAATTCGGTGGGTTTATCATTAGTACGCCTCACAAGGAATTCACAAACTCATTTTCTCCTTTTTTTCCATGTTTGTAATTTTTTTTTCGAATCACATGCATTTTCTGCGCAGACGAACAATGCAGAATCAATAGCCTCGTGCGAAAAGGTCCGAATAGCAACCGAGAGGATATTCAGTTTCCTTCACATGTCACGGTCTAATATTTCGCGCTGGCAAAAGGATAAGTTGTACCGTACAATGAAAGACGTAGTAGATTACATGAACCAGGCCCGATTATCAAACTCCTTCCCTCAGAACCAGAATCAACGAGCTCAGATCAATGGTTTGAACCAGACGAGACCATCTGGGCCGTCCAATCAGTCGGGACTCGATCACAGGGCCCACAGCATTTTTCTCAGCCCAACACAGCCCAATAACGATGGAGTTCTTGGCCGATTGGATTCTGTTACACCCATTTCCCCTGATCTGGAGAAAAAGCAGCTAAAGGAACAAGCAGTTGTTAAGAGGCTCAAAAGCACGCAAAATTCTCCAAGATTTAATCAGAGATTGTCTCGAGTGTCTTGTGGTAGTGCTTCGGCTCTGAATTCGCAGAAATCGAGCTTGCCGGCTTCGCCATTGTCATCTTCTTCTTCTAAGCTTTCTAAATCTGTTGCGATTTCTCCTTTGACTCCATTGACTCCGAACTTGAAGCCGGTGGATTTCGCTAAGAGCCCTTTGTCGGTTGACGATAGCAGCAAATTTTCTGCAAATTCGGGTGATCGGCTGTTGAAGGAAGAAGAAGCAAGAAGAAAGATAATTTCCACGGACGAGAAGCTTTTGGAGAAGTCTGGTGTGAATAATACTGAGTTGGCTGAGAAAAAGCGCCCAAGGGATGAAGAAGAAGATGGAAATCCGGTAAAGCGCCTGGTTAATGCGGTTAGTTCAATCTTTTTTAATTTTTTACTCATTTTTATTTTCTTTTACGTAAAAAATTTCGGCCTGAATTAGAATAATAGAGTTATAAAAAATTATGTGAATGATTTGAGTTTTCGAGAATTAGAATATTCTTATGCATGTCTATAGAATTTTATATATGCTCGGCTTGGCCTGATACGCGTTTCGGTTTCATCTTGAAGGTGACATCTGTTTCACACAGAGCTTTGAATTCTGCCATACAGGATATGAATGTTATCGCCAGCTTAACTGATAGGATAGCCGAGAGTTTTCTCCATAGTGATTCTCCCCGAATCTTGGCTGATGATATTAGATATTCGATGGCAAAGGATCAATTTGAAACCACGACTTGCCAGGAAATTGTGACTGAAACGGGATTTTGCAACACTAACAATGTTGAGAAAAGACTGAATAAAAAGGTAATACTGTGATTAAGTTGCATTCAATGGAAGTTTTGCTGTAATTCGACACAGAATTTAAAAAAAAGAGGTATTTTCTTGTTTTATGCGTACTATGTTGTCAGGCTAGTGACGAGCTGTTTGAAGAGATTCAGGCAATCAATCAGAGGGTCATGGAAGTGAAGGTTGATGTAATGAACATTGACGAAGTTTCGAGGACCGGATTTGATGAATGTGCTCTTATTCGCTGCTCGTATGTTCCCATAGGACCTGCTTCTCAACAGATGGTAATCCTCGTAAGAATCTTTTTAACTATTATTGTCGTAATTTATTATAGATGTTATATTTTTCACAGATTTGATACTCTTTAGCTTCACACAGATTCATAAACTGAACCTGGAATTGATCGTGCCTCCCAATTATCCCAATTTCTCTCCTACTGTGGCCGAAAAAATGCCTTCTGATTGCGGGTAAGCAAACAAACTATAAACGATGCACATTTTTTTTCAGTAATATAGTTTCTGGTGAAAGTCGTCAAATGTAAAACCGAATTTTAATGTTGTGTGCAGTGAGTCTGAGGAAGGTAAAAGTCTGTGGAGAAAGGCAAAATCGAACTTGGGTTTAAGACTCAGACCATTTTCTCAGCCCATATCGGTCAAACAGATTGCTCGAGCTTGGGAAATTAGCGCTCGAGAAGTTTTTCTCGAGTATGCAGTGCAAATGGGAGGGGGTAGCTTCAGTTCAAGATATGGTGAATGGTGTTGTTCTAGGTGAATAATCTGTGTATAAAAAATTCCACCGAGTAGAGTGTTACTGTTATAACCTGAGAGAAATTTTCATTCTGCTTGAGATGGATATAGGAGGAGAAAATGCGACAAAAGTGTGCAAAAGTTTCCTTGACAAATCCTGCAAAGTATTACTCTTTATGTTAATAAAATTGATGTATTATTTTGGTCCAAAAAAAATTGTATCTTTCTTTTTTTTTTATAGTTCAACAATTTCTTGCTTCTTCTCTGTGTGACCGTACATTATCGACAAACAATCATATACCGATTCAGCTCGCGCGCACGTTTTATAATCACCCGCTAAGAACGACTCGATTCTCTCATCCACCTCAATCCAGCTACATCCCGGGCTCTTCTTCAATCCGAGCTCCTTCATCTTCGACCTAACTTTCCGAGCCTCGTCCCACTTCTTTCCAGCCGCATACATCTTCTCGAGACCCACATAAATCGACATATCATCCGACCCCTTCTCGACAAGAATGCTCGCGATTTTCTCCCCTAAAACAAGGTCCCCGCGCAAATGGCACGCTGCAAATAGCGTGCTCAGCAAATCGACGTCCTTTTTTATTAAAGAATTTTGCTCGATAATCTCGTAAGCCTCTTGCAATCTCCCTGCACGGCAAAAGAGGTCCACGAGACACGAGTACTCGGCAGTCGTGGGATGAATTTTATACTCATCGACCATTAGGTTAAAATAAAACCGACCCTTTTCGACTAATCCCGCATGGCTGCAAGCTGAGATCACGGCTAGGAAAGTGACTCTGTCCGGTTTTAAATTCGCGAGTAGCATCTCGTCGAAAGTCTTCAAAGCCTCGGACACCTGTCCGTGGGACCCATGAGCCACGATCATTGAAGTCCACGAGACTAAATCTTTTTTCGGGAGTTGATTGAATACGAGCACAGCTTCATTTACGGCCCCACATTTGGCGTACATATCGAGAAGGGCTCCCATTACCACCTCGTTCGAGTTTAACCGATTTTCGTTAATGAGTGTGTGGAATTCTTTGCCTCTTTCTAAAGCGGCCAATTGCGAACATGCCGAAAGGAGAGTGGTGAGGGTAATTTCATCCGGTCTTACGCCTTTTTCTACTCTCATCCGATCATATGTTTCGAGTGCTTCAAGGTAAGAACCCGAAGATACATAGCCCGAGATCATAACGTTCCAAACGACTATTTCTGATTTCGGCATCAAATCGAAAATTTTCTCAGCTGTTGCAACACATCCACACTTGAAGTAAAAATCGAGTAAAGAGCTCTCGACAAAGATATCAGCAATTAAGTTATTTCTTACGGCATAACCGTGAACAAATCTACCATGCAGCAATCGAGCAGATTTCGCGCAAGCTACTAAGATGGTGCTAACAGTAGTCAAGCTTGGTTTGACTTTCGCTCGGTTCATTCCTGCTAAAAGCCGAATGCATGAGGCGCTGTCTCCAATCTGGCTGTGACCACCAATCATCGAGTTCCAACAAACCAAGCTTCGATCACTAACTTTGTCGAAAATCTCCTTAGCTCTGTCCAAGCATCCGCATTTTCCGTACATGTCGATGAGAGTGGAGCTCACGTAAGCATCCATTACAAGCCCGCTACTCAAAACCTCCTCGTGAATTTCCCTTCCTTTTTCCAAATTCGATAACCTGCTGCAAGCAGAAATCGCGGTTGTAAACGATACTGAGTCGGGCCTCAAACCCGTTCGCTTCATCCTCTCGAAATATTCCAAAGCCTTCTCCCACTGCCCACTTTGGTAATAACACGAAATCACGTTATTCCAACAGGGTAAATCTCTGTACAGCATTTCATCGAACAGCTTCACGGCGGAACTAAATACGCTGCATTTCGCGTACAGATTGGTTAACGAGCTGGCCACAACAACGTCCGATACAGACCCGGTTTTTATCAAATGGGAATGGACCCTTTCACCGTAATCCACTCTCTTCAACCCGCCGCAGGCTTTCAGCAAGCTCGGGTACGTGTAGCTATCGGGTTTCAGATGAGGGTTCTGTAAGAGGGTTTCGAACAGAGAAAATACCTCAGAAAACATGGAATTCTTCGCGTAGGCCGACATTAATCCGTTCCATAGCGTTATGCCCGATCGGCTTTCGATATTCTTGAAAATTGATTTTGCGGATTGATGGGCGCCGATAGAGACGTATAGATTTATGAGGTTTTTGCATAGGGATGTGTTGTTATGTAGGCCGAGAGAGATGGTTTTCTGATGTAGTATCTGAATTTGCTTCAGGGACTTCGACGTGTGGCTCAAGGATTTTGAGAGATGAAATATTTTTGCAGTAATGGCGTCCATACAGAGAGAACTTCCGGATGGAAGGGAAGAAGGACAAACTGAAATTTATCATGTTTCCTGGCTCTAGTGATGAAAAATAGTATATATTCCAGGGACGACAATGAAATTATATTATTTTGGTAATTTTAACTTATTCATATTCTACATCATTTTATATCAAGTTTTAGTTAATTTATTATGTGAAATGTACTT